ATTGTATGGATTATGGACCATTATATTCATTTTGGTGTTTTTCTTTTGAACGTATAAATGGAATCCTAGGTAAATATCAGGCTATTATTATATATACATTATAGTGTAAAAATACTAATCAATATATATAATTTATATTTTATAGGCTCATATAAGACCAGCCATAGGAATATAGAACCAGAACTTTGAGAATTATTCTCACAAATAATTCTTTGAATGAAGTTGTATCAAATGCTGAAAAAATGTCAGATTATCTGATTTTCTAACAATATTAAAAGGAAGAATATCGGGTAGTAGTATAGATATTTCAGATAAATTTGAAACACAAGATCTTCTTCAATTTTATAAATTAAGAAATATTATTGATCAAAAAGAATTTTTTGGCTACGAACCATTTTCTGGTATATTTCTTAGTCTAAAATCAGAAAATGCCATTTTACAAAATGATATTTTAAACCTTTTAGTTGAATTTTATAATAATAGAGTAACAGATTATCAATTTACCACTCCAGGAGATATATCGAGAATTGATCAAATATCTGTATTTCCCAAAATAATTCAATATGAATGATTAAAATTGGGGTCAGAAATTTTTGGATCTACATTCTCAGCTCGCCATATCAAATCCTCAAAAATTCTAGCAAGATTTGTTGCTCAAGAAGATGAATCAGTAGATTCATATCCTGGTCAAGTTCAATTCTATTTCGACCACACTATCCATCTTCCTTCTGGTGAACTAACATATCACTTTGCATTTGTAAGGAGGTATAAACCTGTTGAAAATTATGAAACCAGGTTCTAGGTAAAAATTAAAAAGGATGATTTTAGTTATAATGTAGAATTGTGGGATCAAGAATTTTATGAATTAAGCAGGGACTGCATAATTCTCATACATCAAATCTATTCCCGGTTTGTAGCAGGTACATATACCGATACTGAAAATAATCCAAAAACATATATGGCCGTAATTTCTTTACATAAAAAGTATAATTTATGAATGTGATTTATTTTTATTTAAGGGTAGTGGGTAATAATTTCAAATATCATATGATTTCAGTTGTAGATCATTTCTGTGTAACTAACGTGAAAATCGAACACCTGATATTGATCCAGAATGTTCTATGAATATTCTATACACTAGCTGCTAGACATAACGACCTTTTTACAGCGAACTCTGGATATATATGAACTCAAAATTTTGAAATTTTAATATTAGTTCAGTGTAAAAAGACCCCACAGCCCTTAATAAAATATAGTAAAATTTATATAACAACTTTTTTTTGGTTTTATTTTTGTCTAAATTCAAGGGTTCAGTATAGAAAGAGTTGATTATAGTTCAGAACCTGGCGCTAATATTCATATACATGCAAAATTTATAACTGTGAAGTCTAACTTTTTGGCAGTGCGAATAACGAATAACAAGGCAAATATTGGATCTGAGGAAGTATTATGGTATAGTAAAAATGTACGTATAGAGATTACTGTAATACGTGTGATTTTTAACCCAAAAATTTTTTTTATTTATAAACCGTTATTACATTTAAGTTTTATAATTGAAGATATTTAAATATATATAATAAGAATATAAAGGCAAGTAAAGAAATAACAATTTGAAAACAATTACTATATTTTTATCCAATATAACTAATTTTTTTTTTGCACAAGTGAAGCCGCATCGTTCACCACACCTTCTATTATTACAGTAGATATCAAAGAAGCTATACTACCTTTCTGTTCAAGCCAAATCGTCTGGTTAACAAAGCGATGACGAACCAGATCTGCTAAGGCTAATTCAGCTAATGCCTTTGTGCGTAAAATCTTTGGTTTTGAGTGATCAGTAAGTTCCATCAATTTTAACTTTCTATCTTGAAGTCATGTGTTATTAGAGCAACAAAAAATATCTATTACATCCACAAGTATAATTGGCTTATCATTATTCTCGTATAATATTTCTATCACCTTTAACAAATTTAACATTTCTGACTTTACATCTACTACTTTAGCTTTGTCATTCACACGTTTAATGCAATTATCACAGGAATTACAAGGTTGTGGAATTGAATCTCCTGGCCACATGTGGTATTGCGATATGAATTGAAATCGACATTCATAGATGGTAAGGCAGTAATATATTACTTCAAAGAGTTTGTGTCGTGATTCTGTTAGAAACCATTCTCGAGCGATAGTTTTCTCATTAATCTCATTATTCTTAGTACTATAATAAAGAAACATTAGATAATTATCAATAAAACTCAAATATAATGATGTTAATAATACCTCTCCCTATTTTTCGCGATAATAGAGTAATTTGTACCAAGATCCTTCTTAGAATAAAGAATAACGCATTTGGCACTTTGTTGATCCCGTCCAGCCTGGCCAGAGGCTTAAATAAGACTATCTATTCATAAAGGTATTGATTATTATTATTAATACAATTATATATACTAAAATAATATAACACTTACTCATACTCATTGGAAAATTATAATGTATAACAAGACAGACATCGGGCATGTCTATGCCCAAACCAAAGGCTGACGTTGCAACCATTAGATGTGTTTCGCCTTTATTCTATTTTTTCATCGCGTTATTTTTTTGGTCTTCAGTTAATTGTCCGTTATACATATCTAATGATATTTCTTTTATTTTTGTATTTAGAATTTCAAAAACATCTGAACAGTCCTTAATTCGTGCACAATATATTATTGTGCGACCAGCCTCCCCTATATTTTCTACCAATTCTATTACTTGGTCTGTCCAAGTATTTTTTCGGTCTTCTACGGAGAAACACAATTCTTTGCGAAATAAATCAGATTCTCTTACAATTGCAAAGTGGCTTACATTAAGATTCAAATTAACTTGAAGTGCTTCTATATTGGCATAAGATAAAGTTGCAGTTAAGGCCATAATTCGGACATTAGGAAAAGATTGTTTTAATTTTCCTAATTTTCTCCATTCTTCTCTGTAATTTCATTTTTTTTTTTAAATTTTATTTATTTATAATTATTATTATTTTTTTTACAGTATAAACAAATCTTCTATTATATATCTTATCTAAAGTAACGAAAATCAAAATACAATGTGTCTCATCAATTACAAACTGTAGTTTCTAATCTCATACAAGCAGCCATATAGCTTCCAGAGTGACTTATTAAGCAACAATTTTTCAGGAGTAATATAAAGCAAGTGAGTAAATCCAAGAACTATCTCATCAAAAAGTTTCGATTCATATTCGATCATTCCTTTTGACGATGTTAGCAAGCAACCACATGAAACTCCTATTTGGATGAAATAGTCCTAAAGGTAAAAGTTTATAAATACATATTTATTTTAATTTTTAACCTTTAACAATTTTTATATATACCACTTGGTTTTGAATCAAAGATTTCAAAGGGGAGATGACAATTGTAAGACCATCAAAAATGATTGCAGAGACCACATAACAAAAAGATTTGCCACCTCCGGTCTTTATAATAACAAGTGTATCTTTTTCTTCTCCTATATAATTTTTTATAGCCTCTAATTGTCCAGATATTAAATGAGTATATTTAAAAATTTTATCCACAATAGTTTCAACATATTGTGTCAAACTCATTGGTTGGTATGTATCATCATTCTTTATTACTTCTGGATTTAAAATTCTGTTTTTCCAACTGAATATTTGGTATGTATAGCACAACGCGCATAAACCTTTTGTATGTTTCAGAAAAGTGTGGCAACCAAGACATCCTATAATTACGTTAAAGTCTACAATTGATGAAGCAAAGAACAGATAAAAATTATTATCACGAAGCTGATTCTGTGCTTTCATCTTATAGGGAATTAATTCCTGTATTATTAAATTACGATAGTAAGTAAATAAATAGTCAAATTTTAAAATTATCTTTTTGATTACCTTATCAAAATCAAAACCAGCCAATTCTTTACGTTCGTTAGCATACTTATCAGCACGCATTTGGTTATGTTGTTGTATTTTATTTACATTCCACCTTTGTTTTTCAGATTGCTCTTTTTCTATTAGGTTAATATTGTGCAAATCTTCAGCCTTGAAAGGTTTTCCGCTATAGATTTCTCGAAGCTCAGAAAACAGATAAGTATATCCTTCATTGTAATGCAATAAGGCCATTGCATGGTGTGCAGAATACGATTGCCAGTAATCAATTTTTTTGTCTAGGTATACTAGCTTTACACGATTAAATGCTTCATTTTGGGATATACGATTTAATGTAACAATTCCTTGACCTCAAGGTAAACGAAACATTTCTTCAAGAAATTTTTGAAATTCATCAATTCGAATATCTGATGAATGACAAAGGGTAGGCTCTTGCAAAATAATTTCTGGGTCTTTTTTTGTCCAACAAATATCTGACCAACAATTTGAGTGGTCATTTTGTAGATAGCAGATAAGACCTTCTACTTGTATATTTTGTGTTTTCTCTTCAGATGGTGTATGAGGATCTTGGGCTAATTTTCGTAAGGCTGCTGAGTAAATACATCCATGGAACCAACGCATTACGTGGTCTTCAAAAGCGTGAAATTTGATATATTTTTTATTTATAAAAAAAAAAACTTAGAAAAATGCATTAATTGATAAACTTACTGTATCATCGCAAAATAACGCACCAGGATGCTATTTAGGAGCACATTGTTTGAAGAAAGCTAATAATTAATTTAGCCGAAGACTTTTAATAATGATTGTATTCGTTAAATTAATAATTAGCTTTCTTTAGCAAATATGTCTCGAAATAACTCCCAAAGTGTTATTTTACGACAATATGATATAATTTTTTGTAATTAAACCTTTACACTTACGATGTAAGGAATTTCTAATATTTTTGGTTAAATGTTTTAGATCAGCGTAAACATTGGTTACAATAGATACATTTGCAAGAGTTTTATTCGAATCCAAATTGCCATCGATACATATTTCTAAATGTAAACCAGCTTCTTTTAATGACGGACTGACTTGATTTAACACTTCAATCAAAATAGCATGTTCCATTTGTCTTGAGGATTTATTAAAATTACCTTGATGAATTGTTTTAGTAAGTCCTGATTTACTATCTTTTGCGATTCTAGTTTTTTCAACTACATAAAACACGACGATCAGCTTGTGAGAATAATCTAATCAAAATAATTTAAATTAATTATAGATCATAACGAAGATTACAAATTAATTATCATACTGGATAGCATTTTTGGTATATAAGTTCACCACTAGCTTGGTTCGCATTTCGTACATGAGACCACAAGCAATTGAACTTAAGAGCTAGAGTTTTTTTACCTTGTAACAATGTATGTTCAATGCATTTTCGTAGAACTTTTTCTGTACTGGAAATTGTGCAAGTTTTAAGAGGACTAAAATACATTTTTTGATAATAATATATGTTTTACAGCCTATTTGATTAGTAACTCCTAATATAGCTAATGAGCTCTGTACCGCATTACGGGATATTTCTCCTGCTAGTCCAGAAGCTGCTACAGCTTTTGCAAGCTAGATTTCTTGCATTTCATTTACATGTTCAAAGGTAGCATTATATTTTTTACACGTTACTATACATTTAACCCTAA